ATGACTAGGCCACCGTGGGTAATCATGGTCAAACCCAGGGGTCAGCAACCCCCGGCACACATGCTGAGCATGGCACGCAAGACCATTTTGCTTGGCACACCACCGCCAACCTGGGCTCTAAGCAGTTGCTGCCAGCCCTGGAGCCCAGGCTACTCCCAGCACGCAGCTGGGAGGCTGCAAGCCCTGCTGCAAGCAGCCTGGGCTCCGTAGGCTGACTGTAGCTGGGAGGCTGCAAACAGCTGCTCCAGGCTCCGGCATGTCGGCACTCCGGCATCTTCCAAGGTAGACATTGTGGTTTTTTCGGCACTCCAGCCAAAAAAGGTTGCCTACCCCTGGTCAAACCTATCTCAGTGAAACAGCTTTTAATGTGTAGGGTTTCACCTGATTTGTGGTTTATACAAGTGATGTATTTGCTTTCTATAGTCACTGCACCTATAGTAGATGACTAATTGTTCTATGTTTAGTGATCTATAAAATGAAAGGAAATGTTCTGCCAGCTTAAGGCAGGATGGTCTCAGATTTCTTGCCAACACCCTGCTGTGGATAGAAGTGTCATAAAGGTTAGTGTCGGAGGCATGTGTAAAGTACATTGCTATGTTACAAAATGATCAGCATTATAAAATGATCCCCTGCTATCAGTCAAGGGCTTCTCAAAAGAGTACCCTTACATTCTTGCAACCAAAGAGCAAGCTTTGCCTCTGGAAAGTACTCATTTTCCTACCCTTAGCCTTCTTTTCTTTTTAATATTCACAGTTTAGGACTAATTATTAATTTCATTATGTCATTCTGCCCCCAAATGGAAAGATAGCGATGTCACTGTTTTCTGGTTCAGGACACAAAACCCCTAGAAAATGCTACCAATTACATGACTACATCTACAGTTGAGCTTTAGGTGCCATTCTACCTTGTCCTTCATGGTAAGAATACAGTCCAGGAGTCAGCTTGCTGTTTATTTCATGTCAAAAGTCAAGTTATTTTTTTGTCTTCTCCCAGTTAGACATACAGTCCTTACTCCTTGTTAGCAAAGACCAAATGCAAGAAGTCATGCTGACATCTATAAGAACTATTTTCCTAGCTGCAGCCCTGAAGCAGGAGCTGTACTGCTAACTGACCTTCTGGGTTGGGGCATCTCTCTCCTCTGCCAATACCCAATGTTGTCTTCGTACTTATCTTTGTCACTATGAGGTTTTCACACCTTATTACTAAAATGGGCATCACTTTTTTCTCCAGAAAACTCCAGGTATCTAAATATAAGCTTCACTGTCATGTGTATGATCCCAAACAACAGCCTACAGAAATGACACCCACTTGAGGCAGTGATTCAGAGAATATGCAGTCTGTCTGTGTGGAGAGTGTCACATCCTCCAACCCTATGGGTGACTATTTTTTTCCATTAGTCATAGAATCATAGAAAATTAGGGTTGGAAGGGACCTCAGGAGGTCATCTAGTCCAGGCCCCTAGTCAAAGCAGGACCATCCCCAACTAGATCATCCCAGCCAAAGCTTTGTCTAGCCGGGTCTTAAAAACCTTAAAGGATGGAGATTCCACCACCTCTCTGGGTAACCTGTGCCAGTGTTTTTCTACCCTCCTAGTGAGAAAATTCTTCCTAATGTCTAATCTAAACTTCCACATTACTTACTGCAACTTGAGACCATTGCTCCTTGTTCTGCTATCTGCCACCACTGAGAACAGTCTAGCTCCATCCTCTTTTGAACCCCCCTTCAGGTATTTGAAGGCTGCTATTAAATCCCCTCTCCGTCTCCTCTTCTCTAGACTAAATTTCCCTCAGCCTATCATGATAAGTCATGTGCCCCAGCCCCCAAAACATTTTGTTGCCCTCTGCTGGACTCTCTCCAATTTGTCCACATTTTTTCTGTAGCAGGAGGCCCAAAACTGAACACATTACTCCAGATGTGGCCTCACCAGGCTGAATAGAGGGGAATAATCACTTCCCTGGACCTACTGCCAACACACCTACCAATGCAGCCCAGTATGTCATTAGCCTTCCTGGCAACAAAGGTGCACTGTTGGCTCATATTCACCTTATTGTCCACTGTAACACCCAGGTCCTTTTCTGCAGAGCTGCTGCCCATCCAGTCAGCCCCCAACCAGTATTGGTGCATGGGATTGTTCCGTCCTAAGTGCAGGACTTTACACTTGTCCTTGCTGAACCTCATGAGATGCCTTTTGGCCCAATCCTCCAATTTTTCTAAGTCACTCTGAATCCTAGCCCTACCCTCCAGTGTATCTACTATGCCCCGCAGCTTGGTGTCATCTGCAAACTTGCTGAGGGTGCACTCTATGCCATCTTCCAGGTCACTGATGAAGACATTGAACGAAAGACACTGGCCCCAGGACCGACCCCTGGGGGACTCCACTTGATACCAGATGACAGTTGGACATCAAGCCATTGATTACTACTCTCTGAGCCCAATGCTCCAGCCAGCTTTTCTTACAGTCCATTCATCCAGCCTGTACTTCCTTAGCTTGTCTTTGAGAATGTTGTGGGAGACCGTATCAAAAGCCTTGCTACAGTCAAGGTATACCACATCCACCAGTCTCCCCACATCCACAGAGCATCCAAAACATCTGTACTAACAATGCAGCACACCCATAACTGTATTATAGCATATTTGTGTGATAAGACTTCCCTACAGCCTTCTCCAATACTAAAATATTCTTTGTGTCTGTGCTAAAGAGGATTACATCTATGTTCAGCACTTAGAGACTTAGAACATAGCCTCTACAATACTACCAGCATGTTTTCAGAAGGTGGAACTTTTACATCAGTAATACGCCCAGCCCTACCTCTAACATTAACCTCCAGGACAGTCCAGGCCCCATTATTCTCCAAAGACCAGGAATGTTACCTCCTTCCATGTTCCCTCTTCAGAGGGGATCACTGCTACACTGGTCCTAGCCCCTGGAGGCAAAACTTTGACTTTGTTTATAAGCATTCAGTTTGCTTCTCAGCCAGTTATGAGGAGGTCATTTTTAGGGGATGGAATTAGTGACATAAGGGGTGTGTGTACACAAGCTTTTAGGTGTGCCTAAACTTAATGCACAATAGCCTAATGCACATTAAGGTGATTTTGGCATGCATCTACACATGCACACTATAAAGCGCATCAACACGGGTGTGCAGACTGACTTGGGACTCAAGTTAGTCCAAAATCAATGGACACACCATGTGTTAATGCACATTAGCGTGTCTACATGTTCACTAATGTGACTCAGCTATTTGCACATAAATTTGACACCTGCTTTATGCAGAAATCAAATTTAGGCTCAAATATCCTAAAATTGCCATGTTTAAGGTCCATTAAGGACATGCACATGTAGATTCATGCCCTTAATGTGCCTTAAATTGGGCTAATGAGCATTAAATGTGCACCTGTAGACACGCCCAAGAGGCTGCAAACTGAATCAGTCCTCAAGATGCTTGAATTTAGTTGAAGTAAATCTTGCTGGCTGAAATACTATAAGAGTTGATAGGAAAATTCATATTCACACAATTCATATTCACACAATCCATGATATACGCATAGTTAATTTATGTAGTTTAATCCATTTTACCCACACCAAAGGGTTAAGATTAAACTGTATTTGAGTCAAAACAAGGCCAGCAATACCTGTCTTAGTACAGTAAAAAGAGAACTGAATTAGGCAATTACTTATGCCCTCAGATTAGCCAAAGCAATAAAGGTGCTGGAGCTTTACTTGACTTGCCAACACTGCGGACATACAGAGTTCAACCAAAGTATTCACTATCTCTTCCTCTCTCCTAAAGATTCATGCACATCTGGACACTGACACTTGGAGGTAGGGGAAAATATTTCATGTGATAAAAATCTGCACAGTTTAAATTGCACATAATAAAAAAGACTTCCACAGACAAAGACTAGAAGTACATCCAGTGTTCCTGTTTTTCCTCTTGTGCATATGGCTCTCCCTCTCTACTATACCAAGCATTTCCTCAGTCAATAAAATTTGGACTTGATTTCATGGTGTTTGGCACAATGGTTTTTAAGAGTTCAGAGAAGAATTAGAAAATTATGGCTGAGTTTAAGGGATTGTTCAATTATGCATGAAAACTGACCAAGGAAATGGACTGCAGAGTCACTCTACCCACCCAGGTTTCATTTTGCAAGTTTCATATTGTCTCAAAAGAAATTGTCATTAGTTGTGAAAATTATAAGGACAAGACACTAAGGCCCAAATACAACTCACCTTTAGGTGGGTAAGTAGCCACTTACACAACAGGTCTTGCTCTTGTGAAAAAACTGAGAAAGGATCTGTTCCAGGCACTTATTCTCCATGCACTTGGAAGGCATGTCAGCTCCATGTAAATGAGTGCTATGTAAATCCCTGAAACATTGGTCACAGAAAACCACAGCTAGTGATTTTCTGGAAAAGGTGGATGGCTCTCCTGCCTGCTAGCCCAATAGTTTAGTGGCTCAGAAACTTGCTTGTGGAGTGGGACACTTAGATTCTAGGCTGCCTCATTCAGAAGGAATTTGAAACTACATCTACTTTCCAGCAAAGTTTCTTAACCATTAGACCAGGGTCTGAGCAGGGCCAAGAACATCCTCTTTCCATCTCATCAAAGCTAACCTACTGGGCAGCCAAGAGGGGAAGCTTATGTGAAGCCAGAAGCCGAGCAGGCCAGATGGAGTGTGCACTCGAGGGGAGGGGGCTGTGTGCCCTCGACCCTGTCAAGTGGTATTTTTGCATTTAATTGTCATTGGATAAAACGAACAGACAGAAGTGGAATAACTTCTCTGCTTTGGGACAAAAGTTGTGGCCTTTACAAAATCAATTCCTTTTTAAACTTCAGATTAATATATTGAAGCTCTTTGGGGCAAGGACCATCTCTTTGTTCTGTGTTTCTGAAGTGCCTAGCACAGTGGGGTCTTGGTCTACGACCAGGAAATCTCTGTGGTTTCTGAATGGCATTTGATAACAGTGCTTAACCTCTGCTTTCCTCCCAACCCCCCAGGAGCACATTTACAAGCTGATGAAGAGTGACAGCTACGCACGTTTCCTCCGTTCTAATGCTTACCAGGACTTATTGCTGGCAAAGAAGAAGGTACCTGTTGGAAAGGACATGCTTGCTCCTCTTAGCACCTATTGATTCTCACCTGCTGCTTGCTGCTAGTGTGAAAATAAGAATATTGTTGCTTTTTCTTTTCTTTTCTTTTCTTTTTTTTTTTTTAATTTTTCTTTCTTTAAAACAAGAATGAGAACATTTGTTTTCTCTACCTAAAAAAGCCCATGGTACGGCATCCCCATACACGGCCTCGGCAGATGTGGGGAAAAGATAGACTGGCCAGCCAGTCAAAACACAGAACATGGAAAAGATGCTCATACCGCACCAGCGTCTTCCAGACTCAATGGAGGCATTTAAAATGGCTCTGTCATTTCGTCATGACAAAGATCATATCGTATATCAGAATTAGAGCCCATGAATCTGGTCATTTGCTATTCAGGGAAATAAGAATGGGGAGATGCTGCAAACCTCATAAATCTAACAATACGACCTTCCCTTTGGATGCCTTACCTGTAGACCTCCTTGTGGTGTCTGACCTCTATCTCCTTCCCTTTCCCCTGCTCTTTGCCCCTCTCCCCCCTCAGCCCCGCCCTGACCTTTGCTTCTCTTTTGAGGCCAGAAGTAACTGCAATCCAAGCAGTAAGTGAGCGATAGTCTTTACAAGAGAAAAGGGTTTCAGTCCTAAGGTGACAGCAACTTATTTTCTGCAAGGAATTCCCAACCCAAAAGAGTAGCTGGTTATATAGGATTAAGTCAGCTCTTACCCAGCCAGTTCTGTTCCATTTGGGGGAGTTGGGAGGTAAGATACTTATCTCTGTATTTGTGGCTGTGCTTAAATGCTTTTTCTGCCTCTTGGCTTACTCCAGGAGTGTGTACACATGTGTATGTACGCATGTGCACGTCCCATTTCTACTGTAAAGCTTTGACTTCCAAGACAATTATTGCAGCCTAAGCATGTGGTTTTCCATCATTTTGTTCTCTGTTTTTCCTCCCCGACATACTCTGTGTGCTGCCAAATGACAGAGCACTGGCATAACTTGGAGAAATCCCAGTGGTACTTTAGATCCTTGTTGCTACTGTGCATCCTTACAGTGTGTATGATGACATAATGAGTCAAACTTTACCCTCTGCTGTGCCTGGCCCTAGCATCAGTTGCATTGGAATGATGTAATTGGGAGCATAAACTGGCCTGGTGTCAAAACCAGCTGGTCTGAGACAAATATAGACTGGAAGAGGAAATGTGAAGTCCTATCTGACATTTGAAATTTAAGTTGCAGGTCAGAATTCAGAGGTTGGGTGAAAAGAAAGCAGTGCATTAAAACTTCTGAACTCCCTTTGATGATAGAGAAATTAAAACCATTTGCTGTCTTCTTATCCCTGTCAGTTTCCAGTTTGGCCTCCCTTACACAACATGAACACATAAGGATTCATGTGTTAATTTGAAGGAAAGTTCTCCCCCCAGCTGAGCCCATTCTAAACCAAAGATCTCTTTAGAATCATTGTTTGCTGTCAGATCAAGCGCTGGACCTGTCAGCATGACTTCCTCTTCCCCCACTCAGGCTGCCTGGGGAGCAGACTCTGTCATGCTAACAGTGCAGTGGAAGTCAGAATCGAGTTTCCTTTAGAAAGGGCCATGGGTATTCTGGTAAATTTAGCCAAGCACAAAAAAGACAGTGGTAGAAATTATGCAGACATGCAGTTCATCAGCTTAACACACAGCAAAATTATAATTACTTCAGAAGCTCTGAAACTCTTTGCAGCCAGTTTGTAATAAATGTTGTTATACCACTGAAAGCACAGAGATGCTGACTGAAAAAATATGAAGCTGTCATGCTGAGCTTCCTAATAAGATCCTTAGGAGTTCCAGTGCAGATCTGATCCGTTAGTGTATCTTGAGACAACCTGGAAAAAAGGGTGAGGGATGGGGAAGCGCAGTGGAATACCAGAGTCTTTGGGGGATTGAGAGTTTAAGTCCCTGATAGGTGGACCTCCAACGCTTCCTTTTATTCAAAGGACATTTCTCATTTTGAACCTAAATTACCTCCTTTTCACACCAGCATGGTGTCTCCTGATTTTTATTGTTGAAAATTAATTCTAGCAGAAGATTATAGGGTTGCTTTGTTTACACAAAACAAATGAATTGCATGGCATTTTAAGGTTCGGGTACGAACAATTTATGTGTCTCTTTTGTGTTGGGTCGTTGTTAGACATGGCATCTCTCACACAGTGCCTTAGCAAGTTGAGATGTACAGCGAAGTGGGAAGGGTGGACTTGTGGCCAAAGCACAAGAGAAGGAGTCATGATAGCTGGGTTCTTTCCTTGGCTTCCCCACTTGTTTTCTTATTTGACATTGGATAAATCTAATAACTTATCTCTGTTTTTTATTCTTCTCTTTGTAAAAGACTGACCTGCCTGGCAGACATGTTGCAAGACATAATTGATTAACATCTGTAAAAATATCTGGCATATTTCAAGTTCCTGAGCTGAAATCATAATAAGTGAAAAGTATTATCATTTTTCCACATCACATAATAACAGCACACATAAGAGTTCCTGGTATGTGGGCTAGGAGAGAGGTGAGCATGGACTTTTGTATGCTGGGAGCAAATTATCTTAGCTGGGTTATGAGAAGGAGTAAGAAGGGTAACATGTACACAGCACTCAGTGATTAGGGACCAAATATAGAGCACAAGTGCCTTATTCTTATTCATTCACTATGGATTTTTTCTCCTTTCCTCACAGTGTTGTTACTGTATTTATCACTGTATATTGGCCTGGGTGCTGCCAATTTCTGGTGCTTGGGGAGTGTGCGATGTTGAGCTCCAGCATGAGTGTAAGTAGAGGTCATATGTAGGTGTTAGACAGGTAAAGAGCTAGGTGTAATTCTCTGCAGTCCATGGTAATATTTCTTTTTTGCATGCCTTGGCCATGAAAGGATGTAGACAGAGCATTGGAGAAGTGGATTTTAGCCTGGTTCTCAGCATGAGGACAAGTCTCTGTATACTTCTCCATCTGGCCTCATACCTGCAGCGAGGCAGCTGTCACTGGGCTGCTCTCTGCAGGAGCATCATCAGTGCTGGACTGGATTCCACTGCGCTCCAGAGCTGACTCCTTGCTTTGAAATGTACATATACATGCCATGTGCCCCACCTGTGCTGTACGTAGTCAAACATCAGTCTGTTTGCATTACTGCTATAGATGTATTAATTCAGACTAAGGCTTACAGTTGGTTATTATTTATAACCATCATCCTTTCTCCTCATTAGCCAAAAAATGGCTATATGTTTGGATGACAATGAACCTTTTGTAAGGGATGGCTGCTACAGTTAGGTCTTGACAATCCCACTTGATTAGAAATTTTGGCTGGTTGAGTGGGGTTGAGTGTCCATTTACCAGCCCTGGTAAAAAGTGAAGCAGCTCAAATGCCACTGCATCTTCAACAGGATGGGTCACCACAAGAACTAAGATGTATAGGAAAGAGAAGAAAGGCCCAGACACTGCTAGTACCTTTTGGGGAGAGGAGGGAAGCATAGAGCAGAGTAACTGCAGTTGCTGCATTTTTTTTAGGTGTGAAATTAGAAGCTGAGCAGCTAGAACCATTGTCCCCAAAAGGAAAAAGCCAAGAGGCCCCTTGAGTTACTGTCCATATAAGAGCATAGATGTATGGTTACGATAAAATGGAAGTCTGGGTGTTGCACATGTAATCTATCTAACACAGGTAGTAGTGTTGCAAATAGCTGGGCTAGCCAGGCTCCATCCCTGAACAGTTCAGTTTTGTCCCTGGTTTAATGAATAAAGTGCTTCTTAAGCTTAAATAAATGACATGGTGAGTATAACTAAAGAACCTCAAATTATTGTTGTCTGCCTGATCGGGCTGATTGGCAGAGGAGAGGTAGGCAGGGGCTACACATCACAAATGGAATAGAGAAGTTACTTTTTTTATACCTGTAGTATACATTGAACACCCATAGAAACCAATCAGATTCTAATGATCCCATAAAAAAATAACTACTAGTCACCACAGAGATACCTGTGCAGGTGCACCCTAGTTCACTACTTTGGTACGTGTACCAGCTAATTGTTTGCTTGTTGCTGAGCCACCCTTCAAGCCTCCCTATCTTCCTGGGAGATGCGTCACTTACCATCTTCCAGATATGATTGGCAAAGCCCTTGAAACCCATGTTTATTATATTCTTGGCAGTCCAGCTGACCCTGGTGCTACGTTGCAAGGAGGGAGAGGGAAGTGGGGAACTCGGTTAGAAGCTGAGGCCTTGTTGAACCAAGGTTCTGCTGATGTTTTAGCAAGACAGTGTCAAGGCACAGGGCCTCTGGTCTGGCCTCTGGACAAGCAGTGGCAGCGAAGACATGACAGCACAGACTTCAAGGTGGGCTAGCAACTAGAATATAAACCCTCAGGGGACCCAGGTATGCACTCTGATTGCTAGCCCATGCTGAAGCCAGTGCCACTGTGCTTTTTCTGCTATTGTTACCCATGCTAGCCAGGTTGAAGCTAGCACAGGCATGCCTAGTTACACCTTCATTTTGAGTTATGCCTAGTTACACCTTCATTCTGAGTTAAAGACACACCCTTGGAGAGCATGACAAGGGCCCAGGTGGAAATGAGGAGACAAAGGGTGATCTGAGCCTGCAGGGGGGTAGCATCAGCAACATCAGATCTGGAGGAGCCTGGCATAACAGGGATCCATCGTGAGAAAGAACTGATGTTCCTATGTAGAAAAAATGTCTGGGTTGGGAGAGGTAGAGCAGTTATTTTTCATCCAAACTAGTACACACAGGGTCAGATTCTTCAAGGTCTTGTGCTAATGATGGCATAGGGGGTATAAAATGCCTATCTCTGAGTTGGTTGCTTGTCATAGTCGGTTATCTGTCACGTCCATTTTGCATGCTTACCTTACACTGGTATAAATGTCTGTCTCAGATGCAGAGAACATGGATCTTGGTCCTCAGGTGAGGAAAAGTTGGGGGAATGTTTCCGTCCCTGCTGACCATTATGCATAGTAAAATATTGTTACTTTTGA